ATTTTAAAATAGGCAAAATATTCTAAAGGATAGACCTTCACAAGGACAGGATTTTTTTCAAAGGAAGCTCATTACATCCTTTCCTCTCTTGAATCCATGCTATGGATTTTAGCACAGAGTGAGCACTGGGTCATATCAGCTTTGTAACTAAACATAAAACATAAGAGTCTGGCATTTATACTGAATCTTTCCACAGTTCTTTACAATGTAAAAACAAAAGAAATCAATTTAAAATTGAAGCTTAATAATATCTCCTACTTTTCTAACACAAATATTTAAACACATATTCCTAAGATAAATGTTTACATACTAAGGAATAGGTTTATACTTTCAAGATAGAAATTCACTTAAGTTTTCTTGTAAAAATTTAAAGGTCCACCCATTTGGGGGAAAAGAAATAGCTGAGAAGATCTGATTTTTAATGATGAGGTAGAAAATATATGGAAATTTATTCTAGGTTTAATCTAAGTGTATGAAGTTTTAATAACATTCTAGAAACACAAAGTATGTGTATATTTCAAAAGAAATAGAAAAGTACAGATCATACAGTTAAGAAAACTGAGACAGAAATCATTTTCTTGCAAGGTTCAGGGTAATTAATTTCAACTCATCTGCAGACATCAGTCACATTAAGAACCAGAGGAGTCAACACTCAGCTGTTCTTCCTACCGCAGAACTAATAAAATGTCACACTGGTTAGGTGTCCTTAAGAACACCTTGGTACCTCTTCACTAATCATCTTAATACAACATATGGAATGGAAAGAAACATCGTCTGTCATCCACTACTTTCAGGGTTTAGTAAAGAACAAAGCCAAATGAGGATGAGGTTGATGATGATTGATAAGGATGAATAAGGATGAATGATGATAAAAGTTAGGGGATCACAAGTAAATGAGAAGCTCCGAGGAAGATGCTTACATACCCGCACATGTGTATTCCTAAAGGCATCAGTGAGTCATTCACAGTTCAAGCACTGTTCTAGGCACAGGGACCCCACAAAGAACCAGAGAGATGAGGTGTCCCTTGGCTAATGCAGCCCCATAGATCAACATACTTTTGCTGGATCCAGTCTTGCACTAAAATCTTCATACCTCTGCCTCCTGAGTAACTGGGATTACAAGTATGCACCACTGCATATTACTGGCTTCATATTACTCTTAAATGCAAGTACTGAAAAGCAAATGATGGAAATGAACTTCCCAAAGACAGACCAAAAATGGCAGAACAGAGATTAACCTCACAAGTTAGAGAGGATAGTCAGCAAGGGAGAGAACACAATGCAGCTTGATGTGACAAAAGGAATCTAGCTCCATAAACATGCCACTTAACTTTCAAGGTTCCAAAAATTTGCGGTTGTTTTGTTTTGCCAGAATTGGGGCCTGAATTCAGCCTCAAGCCCTCATTCAGCTTTTTCACTCATTACTGATGATTTACTAGAGCTGAACTATGTCTCCAGTTCCAGCTTTTTGCTGGTTAATTAGAGATAAAAGTTCCTCGGACTTTTCTGCTTAGGTTGGTTCAGATCCCTAATCCTAAAATCTCAGTCTCCTCCTCAGTGGCTAGGAATAGGGGCATGAAACACCAGCATCCAGCTCCAAGATTATTTTTCATTGTGTATTCACAGTTTTGTTCTCCCCATGTGCATCTTTTTCTAAATTGCTCCTGGCTGTGTGTGTATGTGTGTGTGTGCGCGTTGTGTGCACGTGCTTTTCTGTGTTTCTAATTTCAAAGTGCATACAGACAGAAGGCTTTCTTGGGAGACAAAGACAACAGAAAAGTTAGAGAGGTGTCATCCTTAGTTTTTAAGGAATGTAATTTTGTGGTGCCTTAATAAAGAATTTTATGAAAACCTCTAATAATTCTCCTTGCCTTTAAGGGGGAAAAAGATTAAAATCAGAGCAGAAAGGCTTTACAATGATCAAAAAGGGTACAGATTTCATTCATATAAACATAGAAGCTTCATAACACTGGATTTAACTTCCAGTCACCAGTTTTTCTCGACAAATGCATCTAATACTTTAATTAACTAAGTGTGCTGCAGTCAAAGCACTCAGGATCATTTATCCTTGCCTTAGTTCAACAAGAGTAACAAAAAGGGGAGAGCAGACAGGAATGGCAAGCAGGGAGGTGACACTGTCACCCACTGGCTATGTGATCCTGATACTCAACTATCAGTCTGCACAATAAGACACAGTCCACACAGCCGGACAGTAGAGGTACATACAATTCTGCATTTTTTTAAATTAAAAGACTCCTAATTAAGAATCTAGTTTTGTAGAAAACAAATTACTTCCAAATCTCTTACTTAGAACAGATTTTATAATTAAGATTTTTTTTAAAAAAAACCAAACCTTCAAAGACTGTCTTCAACCTACTTTACCATGATATTAACTAAAACCAAAATGCAGTAATTCCAAATATTTCCCTCACAAAGGAAACGAGAGAGGAGGAGAGAAATGGAGAAAGGAAAGGAAGGGGAATCTCTCTCTCTCTCTCTCTGACCTCTCCTTGCCCCTGAAATCTTGTTCTCTTCAAAGCAGACCACAAAAAAAAATAGAATTTCTCTTTCACAATGCAAGTCATAGAAACTAAAAAATATACCACTCTGATATTCTCCTGCCTTGGAGCTAGCCATGCAGAAATTCTCTAATCTGATAGCTTCTCCTTTTCTAGAGGATCCTGCCCTAACCTAGGAGAAATGAATGCTGCAAAGAGCCCAAGAAGCTGCTGAGCAGACAGGCCTCAATGATTCCCCTGCTCTCTGGGAATACAATCATGCCCTTTTTGTCCCATTCCATTTGGTTATTCAGATTTTCCTCACACCTATGCAATGAAATCTCCATGAAAATCCAGAGGCTTAGGTCTGCAGAACTTCTGGAAGCTGAGCACATAAAGACTTGCAGAAGGGGAACAAGAGTTCACCCGTGTGCCATAAGCATGATATACCCCAACTCTCCAAAAACCGAAGCTCCTGCACACAGGACCCTCCTTCTCTTTATCTATCTCTTTACCTGGCTGATTACTTGTACCCTTTGAAGTATATTTTGGAAAGCTGGGCATGAGGGCTCATATCTGTAATCCCAGCTACTTGGGAGGAAAATATATACTGAGAATATTGAGGTTTGAAGTCAGCCTAGGTAATAAGTTCATGAAACCCTGTCTTAACAACAACAATAAAATGCTGGGTGTAGTAGCACCATGCCCATGGTCCTGGAGGATGGTAGTATAGGCTTCCTCTGCCTACCTCACCCCCCCAAAAAATGTGAGGCCTTATTTAAATTAGGAATTTAAATTCCTTATTAAATAAATAAATAAAAAGGGTTGGAGGTGTGGCTCAAGCGGTAGAACTCCTGTCTACCAATTATGAGGTCCTGAGTTTAACCCCCAATACCACCTGAAGAAATAAAGGAAGGGAGGAAGAAAGAGAGAAAGGGAGGGAGGGCAGGAAGGACCCTCTGGAATAAAGTAGTAAATGTAAATATAGTATGTCCTGAGTTCTGTCTGCAAATGAAGCAAATGCAATTCAGAGTGTTGAGAATCCTGGTCAGGCAGAAGTTCCAGAGTCGCATACTTGTGACTGGGTCTGAAGGAGGTGCAGTGGACTGAGCCCTCCATCTGTGGGGCCTGATGCTACTTCCATGTAAGAGCAAAGATGAGCTACCTGGCAGGGGAGGGAAGATGCCACACATTTGGGGATCAAGTGGCTTGGGTTGTAGAAACTGAGTTTGTTTCTTCTGCATGTTCAGATAGCCATTCAGGGTTTATCAGATGCTTCTCACTTTTGTTCATCCCTTCATTCATGAACTGCACTGTCTAGAATTTTGCTCAAGGATCTTGTTCATCTGGACACTGTGGTATTTTTGACCTCCCAAAGTGTCCTCTAATTCTTTGCTACACCCGATGATCAAATGGAAGGAAGAGTGAAAAACAAGAAGGATAAGGACCAAGACACTGGGAAGGAAATAGGGGAGAGTTTCCTTGAGTTTTTCTGGCCCGTGAAAGGTTTCAATCAATCCTGCTTCTCCCTTATCAAAGTGGATACACCAATATCTGTTCAGTGTATGAAAATGTGGATGGAATTTTCTCCCCTATTTGGAATAAAGAATTTGCATTTTAAATTTGTTAATTTGTGTCCCTTAGTAACATAAACATACTTACTGACTTCAAGATATAATGAAGGAAAATGAAAACAGCATCCTCTTGAAGAGTTATAATGTAATTAGAATGTTTACTACAGCAGAGTCCTTCCCAGCATCCCAAGATTGCAGAACCAAACAGGAACAATTTCATTCACACTTCTTTCTTTCTCTGAGATAGGAGCTCACCGTACAGACCAGGCTGGCCTTGAACTTGCAATTCTCCTGTCTTAGCCTCTTGAGTTCTGGGCTTACAGGAATGTGCCAACATGTCCAGCCAGACAGTCTTATGTTTTGTTCCTCTCCAAGAATGTGAACACTAATCTAGGTGTTGCTGTTTTCTTGAGACAAAATGAGTGCGTCTATTTTCTTAATAGAAAAAAAATAAGGCAATCTTCACTAAATGGCCATCTGTTTAAGGCCAGAATAAAAGCTGCTGATTATATCGTGCTCTAAGGGTTCAAGAAGCAAAACCAGGCTGTTACTTAGGACATGGCCTGGTATGATAGGATTGCTTGTTAGTCTGGTAAATTCTGGTTATCACTGCTTTCCTGGGAGGGTTTGCAACCAAACATCTACACAGCTGTTAATACATTATAGACCAGCCAACCAGCTTCTTCCTAACTCTTCATCTGTAACACACAGGACACTTTCAGAGTCAAGTGCAGATATAAGTCTATGAGAAAATGCTTCATTTCATTTTCCCTCATTTTATGAAATAGTACTGAAAGAAAACAATTGTACAACCTGAGATAACATGATAGAAAGGCAGAAGCCTCCTTGGGAAATCAACTAGACCAAAACAATTGCTTTTAAAATGATGCTTCTTGAAAAAGCAACCTGGGTTTGTAAACTAACTTACCGGTGATGCCGTTGGGCTCCTGCTGCAGGTCACAGTACCAGAGTCGGTTTACCGGGTCACATCCCTCCCAGATGGATAACAAAACATAGCGACCATCATCAGACAACTGTGGGGGACAAAATCAGTGCAGGGCCTCATCAGAACAGACTTTTGATGAACAGATTATTAAATACTAGGTTAAAAAAAGAGAAAGTTAACTTCAACTACAGTCACTTACCTAAGTTTCTGACAATAAAATTATGTAATAAAAAAAAGAACACCAATTTCTTCTTATCTCACTTAGTCAGTTTTAGACATAGTGAATTATTTAAGTAGAAACTATTAGTAGATATAACTGAATGTCCTAACGACCTCAATGTGATTATTTCATTTTAGACACTAATATCCTCGATGTTCATGGGTTATGTATTTTAGAAATAATGGTTCTAAGTCAGTAAGGATAGCCAAGGGAGTTCTTACAAAGTGGGTCTTTTAACAGATGCTACTTTGTGGCAATAGTATATGAGTCCCTATTTTCCATACCTTTATTGTAATAGTTTTATTTCAACTTGGCTTATTAACCATTATTCAAGATGGTTCTGTATGGTATTTTGGAACAAAGGAGATTTTCCTCCATAACCTGGATGGACTTCATTCCATCTGCTAAATATCTTTTTTTTTTTTTTTTTTTGCCAGTCCTGGGGTTTGAAGTCAGGGCCTGGGCACTGTCCTTGAACCTCTTTGTGCTCAGGGACAGAACTCTACCACTTAAGCCACAGCACCACTTCCGAACTGAAGATGTTAAGAAGACAAAAACTAACTTCTCTGAGCAACAATGAAGCAAGTCAGCCAGCAAACAACACTTCTCTCCTAACTCTTCTGCCTGTGAGCCTACTCTGTAGACTTAGGACTTGCCAAACCCTCATAATCATGAGTCATTTCTTTAAAATCCTTTATTTATAAACACACACAAACACATCTTTTTCTATAGACACCCTTAATACCAACTATTATTCTTTCGTTTGCTCATTCAAGAGACATTTGCTAATCAGCAATTATGTATAAAATGTGTTTGTAGATGGTAAAGAAACAGTTCAGAAAAAAGTGAATCTAACAAAGGAGACAAATACATAAGTACAAAATTATGCAGCAATTCCATATATACTGCTTAATGCTATGGAGAACACCGATAAGTGCTGATAAGGTAGCCAGGATGTGTGGAAAGGATTGGAGTTTTAAATACAGAAATCAAGAAGGGCATATTTCCATTGTTTTCTTACATACACTGTTTCACATGAAAAGTCACATTCATTTCTTATACATTTCCTGATTTGGAATGTTTTCCTCTTTGGCTGCTGTGTTAAATAGAGGGTTGTGCTTACTTCTGTTTTTCTCTTTGTAATGTAGTTTTAATTGTCCTGCTTCAAATTCTTTTTTTTTTAATATAGTATCTATAAACTACTAGCTTATGTAGAAAATTTACCAGTTCAAAATTTATTTTTACCTCTAACAGAATGGGTAATTCCTTTTTATATTTCCTACTTCTTTTGCTTAGTATATTAACATTTTTCTGGAAACTTAAAAAAATTATTTTCATAACTTTTTATGTCATTTTAGGATCTATTTCTATTGACCAATTTTTATAAGTCAGTCTCCGGCTTCTTTATACATGTATTAAGTAACTTTTAAAAGTGGATTCTGGACCTTTTGAATGTTGTTGCGTTTATTTTTCCTTTCCTAATCTGCCTGTCAAATGTTCTGAAGCAGTAACTTGATTGGTAAGTGAGCCAGATTTATTTAAGACTTCTTTGTAAGTTTTGCTGGGTGAAGACCATAGCTCTAGTGGTCTTTCTGAGTTATCTACTGAACATCTACGTGTTCACAAGGCCTTTCTGCTCTGTCAGAACAGAAATTTCCCAGCCTTATCAAACCTTTGATGGTTGTCAGTTGACAGCTCCCTGGTTGTTGCTCTTAGTCTGAACCTTGGAATCTGATTCAATATAGACACATCTTAACAGAGAGCCAAAAGCATAAGTGGATTCCAAGGCATAATTTCTGGGTATTTCTCTCCTTTGATCTGCAAATCCCGAAGGCTTAAATCAGTAAAACATATATACTAAATTCCTCCTATTTTTGCTGGGGTCCACAAACTATTTGCAAGCAAAAGGCTAGGGCAACTGTAAGACTCATCTCTTGTTTTGAGTTACAGTTGCTTTTTCTAGTTTTCAAACTGTAGACAGGTGGGCTGGCCAGTATGTTACCATATCAAGGCCAGGAGCAGAAATCTGCCATTATATCTTAACTGTGTTTTCTGCAAATGAATGCAATGTGATTTAACTATAAAAATCCAATCTGTATGTTTTAGTAATTATTACTGCTTATTGGTTTTCACACTTAAACATTCTATTCACTTTGCTTACTCCATTTTTTCTTTCCTTCCTTTCCTTTTTTTTCCCCCGTGCTAGACCCAGGGCCTTGTACAAGTTCAGCACACACTCTTATGCGTTAATCTACATAGATCGCCAACCTTACATTAAATATAAATTTTTTTATAAACATTTTTCCTTCCTTGATTTGGGAGTTACACATTCTATTTTCATTAAGCTTTTAATACATACACAGTTAATAAGCTCATGTTCAGAATTTTAGTTCCACCTTATTTTTAGACTATCCTATATTAAAAAACATCATCAGTAATCCCTCAGTTAATTCCGATGAATATAATCGAAATTAGCTTCATTAACAATACTTCAAGCTTTTGTTCTTTTATCCTTGAACTAAAAGCAGAATCTGAACAGCTTAGTGCTTATAGTCAGGCTACATCCATCATAAATGATGGCTAATTCAGCCTGAGTGATCCAGTCAATAGGAAGACACAGTGAAATTCACTGCAAGAACCACACCAGGCTTCCCAGGGCAGCTGGGTCCAGCACATTTAATGTGCTCTTCTCTGAATTTCCTTCTGGACTAAATAGCTCTAGAGTATATATTTCATCTGAAGTAGGAAGTCCAAAGCATACTACAATGAGTACACCAATGAAGTCAGCCTTCTTCCTATCATTATTTTCTTTACTACAAGCCACTAAAACCTGCTAAGCTGAATGAACACGCTTTCAAATGCTCAGGTATCTCAGATCTCAAAATCATTTGAAGGTCATTTATTCTAAAATGTACAGATTAGAAATACACCTTTTCCCACAAAATTTTATCAGCAGCAACATTTACTTAGCAGTAGCTTCACACTTAAGACTATTTCAAGGCAATTTTAAAGACCATTTCTCACAAGTCCTTAGGCAGGGACTGATAAGACCTTTGGAATCGTAACATATTAAAGCACCTTTTCTGAAGGCCCGAGAAAAAGCAGGAGAGCCAAAGGTCCTTCTGTAAAAGCTTGGTGAAACTGCATAAATTCCATTTACAAAGAATTATTTTAAGCAGTGATACAGGCTAGAATAATTGTGCTCTCTGGAAGCAATCTGATCAAAACACACTGACTTTTCGAAACACAATGACCATAACATTAGCCTGGCCAGTTATGAAATATGTAACTCCCAAATCTGTAATTTTTAAAAATCCTTTCTTCTCCTCTGTGTTGCTAGCATTTTAAGCAAATTTCCCTTAAGTCAAAGACGTTTTATCTCATGGAAGTCTACCATTTATGCAAATAGATGCAAATAAAACATTAACAAATGCAAAATTCTAAGAGTCACTGTAAATGAAAAGTAACACTTGCTGGTATTAAATTCATGCCTTGCATTCCTAATACTATGAAAGACAAAACTTTCCCCATCCTGACTACTACCACTTTTTAATATACAGGTTACTTTGACAACCTAATTCTGTGCAATCATTTGGATTGTATACTGAGAATACAGATTAAATAAAGTTAGAAAATAACCAAGGAGGGCTAAGAATGTGGCTTAGTGATAGAGTGCTAGCCTTGTATGTGTGAAGCCCTGTGTTTGATTCCTCAGAATCACATACACAGAAAATGCCAGAATTGGCAGTATGGTTCAAGTGGTAGACTGCAAACGAAGCCAAGGGACAGAGCCCAGGCCCAGAGTTCAAGTCCCAGAACTGGCAAAAGAAAATAGAAAAAAAGAAAAAAGAACCGAGGAAGAAGAAAGCATTAATGATAAAAAGTATGTGAACAAAGGAGAAGACCTAGATGTACAAAGAATGTGGTATTGTATAGATGTGCTAAGGAACAGTTGGCAATTCTCTAGTGGTTGGTTTTTCAATATTCACGACCAGGCAAATATCCACTGAACAAAACAATAACAACAAAAAAATCTAAATATACCCCTCCCTTTTGCTTCAGCCTTTGTGACTAACAGAAGGCAACTCCAAGCTAAGAGGAAGTAATTCATTCTTTCCTTTTCTGTGGCTCCTTTCCTCGAAAGCTCCTCAAAGTTCACTTCCCTTCGCACTGGAGTCCTTGTGAAAGGGAAAGTAACTTGCTTGTTTTGGTTAAGGCTACTTTAATGTACCAGTAGTCACTGTAAAATGACCTTCAGGTGGTCCAAGACCAGTTTGCCAAAAGAGCCAAGCACAGCAAAAGGTTCAAGGAGAAAGCCTAAAGTATATCCCTTTACCCAGAGTGGATAGGGTTGGCCATGGTGGCTACCAAAGGGAATTGGTTTCAATAGAATAATCTAGGTCCTAGATAACCTTCTACCTCATCTACTAAAGATAGGTCACCAAACACACCGAACAATAGGTATTCATGGCTGAGGCTGTTTGTTCAACCAGTATTTGAGTTCAATCACACCTGCTGCTGAACTGGGCTCTCACATACAAAAATCAATAAAACAGGGCCTTCAAGAGGTCATGATAAAGATGTAGGAATAGACACAGAAACAAAAAGAATCATTTATAGTGTAGAACACTAAGAGCAAGGGCTGCAAAGTATGATGGGAGTGGCAGACAGGAGCACTGCAAGAAGGCAATTGGGAAGAAAAGGGAGATGACAAAGGATTTAAGGAAAGATGCCCCTAACTGACCCTCAAAAGAGAGGTAGAATTCGCCTAAAAGTAGTCACTTAGAATTTTCCATTCTTACAACTGCTATGAGAATGTAGGCTATCCACCACCAGTATTAGGGAACTGTGATACAAATATTCAGGCT